TGTCCTTTCTATGGTTTCGCTCGGTCAGATAACATAGGAAGGTCACGAGTTTCGTATAATTAGTATGTAATGAGACCGAGTGTGATATACTCTATGTATTACTCTCCCGTTGAAGATACTGCAGTGTAATATTTTTACGGCAATATTACACTAGTGTAATATCGCTAGACATATGACGTCATAATGGTAACAGTTATGACGTCACAAAACTAATACCTCCATCACAATGGTATTAGACCTTGCTTGACTCGCGGAAAGCTGAGAGTCATCACACTGTAAGCAGTTTCTATCAATTGATGGTGGAGAGTAATAAACAGAATACTAAACTCGCTTCCGTGTTTTACCAATTTTATTAAACCAATGAAAAATTTAGTATCAAACGAGCGAAAGCGAGTTCGATACCAAATCATTAACTCGTTTAATAAAATTGGTATTACACGGAAGGTCGTTTAGTACCCCCTATGTATTTCTTAAACATCACTGCTTCATGGCACCCAACAATATTGAAGCATGAATCGAATCCTTATTATTTACGTTACATGACATAAGAGTGCATGAAACAGCGTCTAATACTCCATTGCATAAGTTCACTTTAAATTAAGCGTTAAAATATGGAGAATTGTTCTTTCTGTGTGATTTTTTATACTCCTTGGGCACCAACGCTGCTATAAAACATATTTTTTATATAGTGGCTGCCATTCTAACTTTTTAGCTTGTAGACCCGGGTTCGAATCCCCACATGGGTACAATGTGTGAAGCCCATTTCTGGTGTCCCCCGCCGTGATGTTGCTGGAATATTGCTAAAAGCAGCATAAAATCCAAACTCAGTCAGGCAGTCTATAGTTTGTTGCGTTTCTAACACATCGAGGGATAAATTTCCACAGCTCTGCGATGAAATTTGAGCATCTTTCATTATTTTACGTCAGGGTGACGTCAGCTGGTGGAAGATTGGTAACACATAAACTTGGTAACACATAACACCTATAAACAGTCTTAAATGCATAGTTTTGCCTTCTGTGGCACACATTTAGGTTCAATTCACACGCATTTGTGTTGTCTGTCAAAATATTCCCTGATGCAGCTTGGTGTTTTAGTCTACAGGGTTCAGAAAGTCGATGCAATTATTTCAGTTATATTTCTGATAGGGATATTGATAATTTGAGATGAGTGAATCGTAACGGATCCGGATCATGGCCCCGTTTCACAAAGCTCTCGTAAGCCTAAGATCTCGTATTTTTTCTCGTAGCATTCCTATGTTACAGTATAGGAGGTACGAATGCTACGAGAAAAGTTACGAGATCTTAGGCTTACGAGAGCTTTGTGAAACGGGGCTATGGACTGTAAGCAATGTAATGACAAAGCTCATGATTTGTTTGTTCGCCTTCTTGTTTAACGCCGCTGTTTATCAACTACAAGAACATGGGAAACATGGGTTCCTGAAGATCCATTCTATCCTCCATAGGTAGACAAAATGATGGTCATGATAGGAAATCTCACAGTATATGTTTTGTTTGTGTGTTTGTTTTGTTAATATTCGAGTCAGACAATCCGGTGATCAACACCATGGGCATGGAACAACGCAATTGGGATGCGATAACATGTGTCAACCAAGTCAGCGAGCCTGACCACCCGATCGAGTTAGTCGCCTCTTACGACAAGCATGGGTTACTGAAAACCAATTCTAACCCGGAAATTCACGGGTTCAAAGAATACGAAAATAGTGATGTGAGTTTGTAGTGAATTGGTAAGGATTATAAGGAAACATATAGTAAAGTAGAAGTTCTAGAACATACTTTGGGCTGAGTCCTGCCTAACGCAAAATCGCCAGCACACAACGTTAGCGATTTAGTCAGTCATGGCTGTGACCTCATCCTCGTCAAAGCCTCGTGATGCAGTTTCATTGTTTGTATGTCTCTCATGAAATATCGCTGATCTCACCCTAGATCTATGTTTCTGTCACTTGGTTTAATTCTCAGAATATGGTCTATCAGTCGAGTTATCTGCCCTGTCGGCGACTCACTCCATATTTAGATCACAGTGGGGCGGAGGGCTGTCCTACTGGTTAAAGCGTTCGCTCGCAAAGCCGAGGATCCGGGTTCGGTTCCTCGTATGGTTACAATGTGTGAACTGAAACCCATTTTGGATGTAACCAGTGGTGATATTGCCTGAATATTGCTACAAGCGGCGTAAAACTAAACTCACGCACTGATTCACATCACATTTGTCGAGAACGCGTGTAGTCAAAGGGAGGTAACTCTGTGAGGGTTACCTCGACCGTCGCAATTCTCTCAGTCTGAGATAAAGTACTTACACAGACACACTGTCTGAGACAAAAATGCACTTCTGGTAAAAATATATACTTCACATGTTGTATCTTTTCTTAGAGGAATCGAACCAGGACCATATTCGTGACGAGCTGACGCATTAAAACTTTACTAATCGTTCATAGAGTATTGGAGTGAGTGAGTGAGTCAATATTTAACGTCACATCGGCAATATTTCAGCCATATCGTGACGAGAACATTTGATATTGAAATGAAGTATATGTATATTATAAAAAACCTGCCGACGAAGGACAGTAAAACAACTAGAATATCACAGATATGTATGTAAAACTAGTAATTAAATCTAAAACGTTTTAACTATAGGGGAAAAACAATACAGTATAAAAATGGGCTATAAATCGCCAATAACTGAAGTTAGATCACCATACCAGGGACCATTGGGACTTACATCGAGTATCGGAGAAAATGCGTTCATTACTTTTACTGGGAATATCAACACTGGGATATATACTCATATATCTTACCATGTATCATCAAACAACAATAATGTTCCCTTTAAGCGGATAAAAAGTGAAGTCATTCAAGTCAAACGTTATTGCAAATGTTAAAAAGCTTTTGAATTTATATTTGCCCGCATCGTATGTAGATATTTGCAAAAAAGACAACGATTCATGTCACAACTTTGAATTATTTAGTTATCAAAATATTGCATTATTGCGTTATAGTTACAGAATGCATAGCTCGGTGGAGATTTTTGGTTAAAATAAATATTGTACAGGAATTTCGTACCACATAAACTGACCCGTCATGAGACCATAGTAAAACTGGTAGACATTTATCTCAGTATAACGTGCAGTGTCGTCACTTAATCCAGTTTTGTACCCGTCCATGTCAGTGCATCAGGGAACAGGGAACAATTCGATTACGATAAAACTCGTGCATAAAGGTCTGACCCGGAAGTGACATGTACAACAAGGAAGCCGAACCTCCAGGTAGGTGTGTCCTGTTCTGTCCCAGCACCTCTCAGTAAATCTGTCTTGATATAGATAAAGTTGCAAACGAAATCAGTGAAATATGTACGCGAAGATGGTAGATAATAAATTATCTACTTAGGTCATGATGTAAGCTTATACTGTCTAGCGTCAAATCAAACAGGAAATCCTGTCATTGTCAATCCTATTTCAGAGGCCATTCCTCGTAGTGTGTTGTGCACGATCCGTGTAATATAACTCTTAAAAAGCAAGAACAGGACCTAGATTTTCGAAGCTCTCTTAGCGCTAAGATAGTCGTAAGTGCCATACATTAACATTGATTTGGATGTATTTTACAAGGAATAACCTGAATCCCATAGTTGTGACATGACTTTGAAGTGTTCAATATCGTCCCCATGAATGCTTTCAAAGGGGCGTAAACGTAGCAACGCGACAGGTAGGACAGGTTATTTTGAGATTATTAACAATCCTGGAGACATGTCACGATGACCTAAACAGCCGGCGATTGTGCAGTAGGTTATGTAGGTCGGAGTTGCGAGTTGGGTGACAGTACGAGGTGTGTGATATACGGGTGGAGTAGTAGTTTATATTGCAAGAATCGGATGATACGACAAGTGTTTATTGGCAGATGGCACGCGTGGGAGATACGGGTGGATTTGATGAATTAAATGGGTGTTAAGATGTAGTGAATTGTACTGGTGGACAGTGCAGGGTTGGGTATATACGATGGTGGGTGGGGGTTGATAGTGTATGCCAGTAGATATGACACCATGTGGGAGGGGGGGGGGGGATTGTAGAAGTTCAAGTTTTGGGAGATACGGAATGAGACAATGATGGTAACGGGAAGACACCAGTAGTAGTATAGTGAGTGAGTTAATATTTAACGTCACATCGGCAATATCTCCATATCGTGACGAAAACAATTTATACAATAAAAAGTGAAATATTTTGAAGATTAAAACCTGTCCACGATGGACAGTAAAAATACTAGATAATCACAGATATAATATAAAACTTGCGATCAAAGCTAAAACATTCCAATTAATGACTGACTGACTGAGTGAGTTTGGTTTTACGCCGCTTTTAGCAATATTCCAGCAACATCACGGCGGGGGACACCAGAAATGGGCGTCACATCCAATTAAAGAAGACAATACGATATAAAACACGGGCTATAGAGTGAGTGAGTGAGTGAGTGAGTGAGTTAATATTTAACGTCACATCGGCAATATTTCAGCCATATCGTGACGAGAACATTTGATATTGAAATGAAATATATGTCAATTATAAAAACCTGCCGACGAAGGGCGGTAAAACAACTAGAATATCACAGATATACATGTAAAACTAGTAATAGAGTCTAAAACATTTTAACCATAGGGGACAACACAATATAAAAGTTGAGTTGCATTATTCCAGCCATATAGTGACGAGAACAAGTCTGCATTAATATACATTGTAAGTACAAAGTGGTTTCGTTTCAAAGACATACATTCATTACGTTGTCATTTTAGAACAGAGAATGTCATAGCACTAAACTGAAAAGCAGATAAATTCGTTACACAGTTACAATTTATGATATAGATCAACTTCCCTCAGGTAGTTCAGTTACTAGGAACCATGGGGCCTTACATTACTTTTGCTACCTGCATGGTCCCTAGTTGGATTTACACCATCCCTTCAGCCGCTGGCGATTGTAGGACAAGTTTAGTCGAAATTTAAAGGAACAAATATGTGTAGCCGTGACATTTCACTTTGTATTATGTATTCTGTTTTATTTAAAATGTCAATAGAAAATCATATAGAAACATTTCTTGGTGGTGTTATACAGTTTTGTGGCCAACAGTATTATTTGTGCTTGTCCTGTGTAGGCCAGGTTAATGAATATGCATTTCACGTGCATTTCATGTTTATGGGAATCTTTGTTATAACACGGATGATTTTGATTGGTTGATTGGATCGTCTGCTTCAACATGATCATACCTCGTGGTGTCTTGTGAGTTTCATTGCATTCTGAGGGCTGATAATGTGAGGTCGAGTCAGAGGAGTCACCAGGTTAGTTATATTTGGTTGTAGAATGGTTTCTAAAGTTTTAGGTTATAATATCTCACTAATGCATATAAAATAAAGTTCTAGACTAAAAACGTTTATTAATATTAAATAATGTTGGATTTTGGATATGTAAATATGTTGTGCTAATCCGTGATAGGCTGTAAAGTTTTTAATGCCTCAATTGGATTGCCATTATACATATTTTCACATAATGTTTCTTGCATGGGTGTCGTGCGTGTAGTCTGTGTGCGCTGTGGTGGTGACTGTTGAGAATATGATGTTCACTTCTGTGTGCTAGTGATGGGTTCACAGTGATTCATATTAACTTTGTTTTCACTTTATTCTACAGTATGTTATCTACCAGCAGGTACTTGTGAGTTTGGGCTAGGTGTGCGTGCGTTTGATTCAAATACAATTTTGACTAAGTACTTCTGTTCAGCGCATGTTTTTTTTTCTGGAATCAATATGCCATTCTTTTAAAGTGCAAAAGATGCAAGAGAACCACCTATATTATCTGTCTCAGAATGGAAACCTTTCCTAAGTGTTCTGTTTGCCATCAGCAGTTTACCCTGAAAGGCCCCGCCCCTGTCTACACGCTGTGTGTGAGACGTGTGTGACATCTGCAGTTGGGTGTGTGATATCATGCTCTACATGTCAGAGGGAGGTCAACCTCAAAGACACAAGCCTCCAGAAGGATGGAGCGAGACAGAAGGAAATATTCCACCTGACAGTCAAACATCGCCCTACAGAGCTCCTCTGTACAACCAGGCTGTGTGTTGGTGTCGGGAGTGTGAAGAGTTCCTCTGTGAGTACTGCCTGAACATGCACAGCCGTGTTATAGCTACCAGAGGACATGTTGTTGAAACCTTTACGGATAAAACACGGGGAAGTATGTACGCTGAATCACAATCGTTCACACTGGAGAGATCAATACAAGACGCACCGCACATCAATTCCACCAGTGATGAACAGAACACCTGCAAACGGTTTCATCACAATGGGCCTTGATAAATTGAAATCCGACATATCCGGGTTTGGGTGTGTCAATGGATATGGCTCAGTACAAACAGGTACTTAATTACTCTGAAAGTATCTCTTTATATACCATATATTTCCGATTACAATTTTTTTTAAGTTTATAGTAGGAGTAAATATGTGATGATTATTTAGGTGCATTTACCTTGATGTAGCTTTAAGATGGGATGAAGAAGATGTTTGCTTTGTTCAATCCTTGCAACAAGCCAGTGTGGTTTAAAAGATTTGATTTATAATCACTGGTGGTCATTTTACAGGCAAAAGAACACAGACAGATGGAAATCATCTAATTGATGCTGAGAGCACACACGGGCATAAGTATTTCTTAATCAGTGAGCATGAGTGTATAGTTATCGTTGTTTTCTAGGCATTTAACCGTTGCTTATATGTTAGATTTTAAACCAACCTACTGTTGTTTCAATATTGATGAATTTGGACATAATATGTGTTTTTTTGTTACAAGCTGAAGTTCTTGGAGGTTCCTAACGATCCAGCACCACTACCACGGTGTGGTAAGAATATTTTTGATAACACATAAATAGGAAATAATGATATGGAAACTGTCTGATCTGTACCATCAGCTGGTCACACCCGAGATGTTGCCAACTTACCAATGATTTCATTCCTATTTCTAGACGGAGATCAGTTGGTGTAAATGTGAAATCTTCTATGATTCTCAAGATTTGGTGTAGAGAAACAGATTCGGGAAGATCGCGATCGTCTGCTTTGTGCCGATCCTCGATCTTTCGATCATCATGATACTCAAAGAGAGAGGAAAGTAGAGATCGGGATCGATGGACCGCAGTCAACCCTTCTTAGATAGAGCATATTGGAAAATAGGGGGATAAGATTTCTCTGCTGGGATCCCCCTACCTAGAGGATCGTAGACCGGTTTCGATCTCCTCTCTATGCATGAATAGTGATCGACCTGTATGTCACAGATTTAGGGATTACATTAGAACAGACTAAAGTCAGGAACTGCAGGTACCATCGGCAATGGAGGGATTGGTCAGCTTCTCACGATCGGGAGGATCGTATGATACTTTGCTAGGTCTGGTCGATCCAACTCACATTTTAAGATGCGGTAAGGTAGCTCGTTATACCGTGAGTGAGTGAGTTATTATTTAACGTCACATCGGCAATATTTCAGCCATATCCGTTACACCGAAGATCCAGGCTCGATTTCCCACATGTGTGAATGTGTGAAGCCCATTTCAGGTGTCCTCCGTTGTGATGTTGCTGGAATATTGTTGTAAAGCAATGTTCTGTCTCCCACTCATTCACCTTTTGGGGATCAAAGGTCTCAACCGTCTCTACTATCCTCCAATTACATCAATTCTCTCTAACATCAATTCTCTATTACATCAATTCTCTATGACGTCCATTCTCTATCTACCAAAGGCTCTAACTGCAGCCGCTCCATGAGATCACAGAGTTTGGTTATTCAACACTCCAGGCATCAACTGACTAAGAATTGGTGTTGGTAAATGTTTTGGTGTGTTTAAACTTAAGAATTATAATTCTTAAAACTAAACATATACTGGACAAAATAAGTTAGGGATATTGGTATTTTTAAGATTGATATTTTATCAATGTGTCAATGAATAAATACATCATTATTCATAATTTCAAAATTTGCATACATCCCTAACTATTTTTGCCCAGTATAGTTTTAACATTTAAATATGTATTAACACGTCTTCTTTCTGTGTTTCTTCGACATGTAGCGTGGGTGTATGTTGGAGAAGCTGGGCGTGAAACCTTCACACGTGAAGCAGGGACGACGACGACGGTGACACTACAGTGTGAGTACAATCAGATGCTAACTGTCTTCAACACTTGCTGAAACGACATTGTCCGGACTTCATAAACAGGATACCAGACGAGGCGTGAAGTTCCGGGTTAGAATTAGTCGTCAGCATCCCATGCTGTACTGGGCGTGACGTACACGGGATGACGTACACGGGATGACGTACACTGGATGACGTACACTGGATGACGTACACGGGATGACGTACACGGGATGACGTACTGGGCGTGCTGTACACGGGATGACGTACACGGGATGACGTACACGGGATGACGTACACGGGATGACGTACACGGGATGCTGTACACTGGATGCTGTACACTGGATGCTGTACACTGGATGCTGTACACTGGATGACGTACACGGGATGACGTACACGGGGTGACGTACACGGGGTGCTGTACTGGGCGTGCTGTACACGGGATGCCGTACACTGTTTTTCGCCGCTTTTAGCATAATTGCAGCAAAATCACGACGGGGGACACTAGAAATGGGCTTCACACGTTTTACCCATATGGGGAATTGAAACCGGGCCTTCGGCGTAACGAGGAAACGCTTGAACCAGTAAGCTACCCCACCGACCCCACCATGTAGAGATTATATTGTGTGTTTCGTGAACCGTCCTATTTATCACATACATCGTTGGTTGTCGGCTTACCATTTTAAACAATTACACAAAATAGTACCGTATGACCAGAAATTATCGAGAATTTTTGGAATATGTTTAATTGGATGTCCAGTATAAACAACCTTGACCAGCTATCAAGTGCTTGGTTTCATTTAGGAGACACAACTCCGTTAATCCTTTTTCATAAGTTTGTGAAGAGTTATTCCCCTTTGTTTACTTGCTAGCAGACGACATTTTCAGTGATCCCCAGTATGGATGATTTAGAGATGGGGAAGTTGATTTTAGAGTATTATAACAAGGACATCAGAAAAGCTAAAGTGATTTCAAGTAGAACAGGCATCCCTTTGTCCACTGTTTATCGTGTTTTGAAAATATTGCAAATGGATATGGCATTGAGCACCAGGGAGGCGCAGGTAGGCCCAGAAAATTGACTGTCGGTGACAGGAGGCGGCTTGGTATTCTTGTTTCTATAAACAAACGAAGGAGTTTAGAAAACTTAAGGCTGGATATGATTGACAGAGGAACTGTGGCTGTCTGTAAGGAGACAATTAGAACTGAGCTGCATGCAATGGGTTGGCAGAAAAGTCGAGGAATTCCATCACCGATCATAAAACCTGAACAAAAGGAGCGAAGTTTGATATGGTGCTTACAAAATAGAACTTTTAACTGGGACAATGTGATTTTCTTAGATTAAAGTTCTGTGTGGTTGTTTCATAATACACTGAAATTCTGAACCAAACAAACTGAAAAACCTTTGTATCAGCTCCCAAAGTACAGTCCGAAATTTAACGTCTGGGGTGGCATATCTGTGTTAGGGGCAACGCCCCTCTGTGTATTTGAAGGGAATAGTGAGTGAGTGAGTTAATAGTTAACGTCACATCGGCAATATTTCAGCCATATCGTGACGAGGCCATTTTACATTGAAATGGAACATGTGTATATTATAAAAGCTGTCATCGAATGACAGTAAAACAACTAGAATATCACAATTAGATTTAAAACTAGTGTGGAAGGTTGAAACTAATAGCACTATTAGGACAATACAAGATAAAAACAGGCTATAGATCGCCAACAACAGAAGGTAGATCACCATACTAGGACTGACTGACTGACTGAGTTTGGTTTTATGCCGCTTTTAGCAATATTCCAGCAATATCACGGCGGGGGACACCAGAAATGGGCTTCACACATTGTGCCCATGTGGGGATTCGAACCCGGGTCTTCGGCGTGACAAGCCAACGCTCGAACCATTAGGCTACCCCACCGCCCCATACTAGGAACCATGTGGAGTTACATTACATTTGCTACCTGCATGGACCCTAGTTGGATTTACACCATCCCTTCAGCCGCTGGCGATTGTAGGAAAATGTAGCCGGCAGTTAAAAGAACAAAGATACTACGTTTCAAATATGGCAAATTTACATTTTACTTTGAAAGTTTTAGGGCTTACATACCCTCTCAGGAGGACAATAATTGTACGCTACTTCAACCCCCTTTGAGGGTACAGCCACTAACAATCTGTTACTAATCTAAACTACCAACAATAAAATATTTAGCTATTTACAGATCAGTCAACAAATCTAATTCTTTTAAAAATTCAACTATTAAATGATAATTAACATTATAAAAAAGATCCATCAATGTTTTGACATTGCAATACTTCAACACAGTCAAGCACAAGGGATGCAATACGGAGGATCTTCACCTTTAAGTAAATATTCGTGAGTATATCTAGTGTTGCCAATGCGTCATCGTCGCATACTGACCTCTTCAAATCTGGATATAATATAAGGTTTTATTTCATGTAATTTATTTATACCTACTTGGGTGATCCACTTCTTCTGCATCAGATCACGGATGTAGGTTCTAATACTAGCTTTGTAATGAGAGTATGGGATAAGAAATGGTGTGGTGGCAGCAAGACCGGCCATTGTGTTCCCAGAAATGCCAACATGGCTCGATAACCAACACAAGACAATGTCCCATTGGCCAGTAGCAAGTTAACTATACAATTGAATAATTTCTGTTAAAAGTGGATGTTTAAAAGAAAGATTTTTAATATCCTGAAGGCAAGAAAGAGAATCAGAAGAGATTATGTATTATGTTTTCAATGTCTTTGAATATATTTAAGAGCCTTTAATATGGGGTTTGCATCTGCTGTAAAATGTGGAGCTGTTATCCGGTATTCTGAAACCGCGCCACCATCCTTGGACCCATCTGTAAATAATGATTTGTATGTATTATATTTACTTTTTTGACTGATTAAATTCTTGTTTATATTGTAAGTCATTTGTTTCTGATTTTTTAAATGTTGTCAGTGTTAGGTCAACTTGTGGCCTCACCAATTGCCAAGGAGGAGAAGAAAGGAGACGGGAAGAAAATATACTTTCCAGCTCAATGACAGCAGCAGAAATGAATGGTTTAATTCTGATCCCAAGAAGCGGAACAAGAGAAGACTTTTTGTTGTACAGATCCTCATAAAGAGGATTAAAAACAGTTATATGCAGGGTAGGACTCACTAGAATATAGTTTGTGAAATATTGTAACGATAATTTTAAATGGCGTTGTTTGAGAGATGGCTCATCAGCCTCTACAGAAAGACTGTCAATAGGAGAAGTTCGGAAACATCCAACACAAAGTCTGAGACTTTGGTGATGAACAGAATCTAATAATTTAAGATTGCTTTTGCAGGCCCCACCATAAATGATGGAACCATAATCGTGTTTAGAACAGACTAGTGATCTGTATTAGTGAAGGAGGGTTGACTGGAGCCCTCCCCACTTGGAGTTTGAAACAACCTTTAATATATCAAGTGCCTTCAGACATTTAGCAATCAGAGATTTAATATGTGGTACGAAACAAGATGTTGGTCAAATATCATTCCCAGAAAGTTAGCTTCCTTTACAATTTCAATTGGAGTGCCTGCTAGATGCAATTCTGGTTCTCTGTGCGGCTTATATTTCTGACAGAAAAGAATGCAATTAGTCTTAGTTTTTGAAAACTTAAAACAATTTCGTTCTGACCAATCAATAATTTTATTGAGGCATAGCTGCAATTATCTCTCAATCGTGTGCATATTTTTACCTCTACATGACACATTAAAATCATCTACAAATAATGAACCATCAAGGGATTCATTTCAAACTTTAGATAAGCTGTTTATACTGAATAACGTTACAGATAATATGCTACCTTGCGGTACACCTTGGTCTTGATAATACATATCAGACATGGTGGAACCCACACGTACCTGGAACTGCCGATCTGTTAAAAACTGAGATATAAATTAACACAAACGGCCTCTCAATCCCATTTCATGAAGATCTCTTAAAATTCCATACTTCCAGGTCGTATCATATGCTTTTTCTAAATCGAAAAATATTGATACAGCATGTTGTTTCTTGATGATAGCATCCTTTACGAACGATAAAAATCTAACTAAATGGTCTATGGTACTTCTATTTTTTCTAAAACCACACAGAATATTTGTTATAAGATTATTGGTTTCAAGGAACCATATCAGTCGGTTATTGACCATACTCTTCATGGTCTTACATAAACAGCTGGTAAGAGATATTGACCTATAACTAGAAGGGTCTGTATGATCCAGGCCAGGTTTAGGTATAGGAATGACGACAGCATTCCGCCATAAAGAAGGGAAAATCCTAGTAGTCCATATATTGTCAAAGATACATAATAGTACTTCAAGACTAGTATCAGGTAAATGGTTTAACAGTTGATAATGAATATTATCACCCCCTGTTGCTGTGTCGTGTGCTTGCCCTAAAGAAGTGTGCAATTCATGTAAGGAGAAAAGTTCATTATAGTCCTCACCGTTATCAGAATTAAAATTAAGTTTCTTTCTTTCTTCCTCGTCTTGAGTGAGTGAGTTATTATTTAACGTCACATCTGCAATATTTCAGCGATATCGTGACGAGAACATATTTGATTTTGAAGTGGAATATACATCCCTTCAGCCGTTGGTGATTATAAGAAATGTTAGCCAAAATTAAAATAACAAGAATACTACGTTTAAAAATCCTGGTAAGTTTAAATTGACTTTCAAAGTTTTGGGACTTACGTACCCTCTCAGGAGGACAATAATTTTACGATACTTCAACCCCCCTTGAGGGTACAGCCACTAACAATCTAAGTTACTAATCTAAACTACCAATCATTAAAACACATCTATCTACAGAACATATTTATCAAAATTCATTAATTAAATCAATTTCTTTTAAAAAAGGGATACAAAACGGAGGATGTTCACCTTTCAACAAGTATTTGTGAGTGTACCTTGTATGGCCAACGCGACATCGTCGCATGATGACCTAACAACCCTAGTAGGACTGACAACCCTAGTAGGTGTAACCAATATAGGGTTTTATTTCATGTAATTTGTTAATACTTATTTGGGTGTCCCACTTCTTCTGCATCAGATCACGGATGTAAGTTCTAATGCTAGCTTTGTAATCAGAGTATGGAATAAGAAGTGGTGTCACAGATTTGTTGAGTGCTGCCTTAGCAGCAAGATGAGCCAGCGTATTCCCAGAAATGCCAACGTCGCTGGGTAACCAACAAAAGACGATGTCGCATTGGCCAGTAGCAAGCTCATTATACAATTCAATAATTTCTATTAAAAGTGGATGATTACAAGAAAGATTTTTAATAGCCTGAAGACACGAAAGAGAATCAGAAAAGATGATGTATTGTTTATATTTACGGTGTTTATTAATATATTTAAGAGCTGTTAAGATGGCGTTAGCTTCTGCTGTGAAAATATAGCCGTTATTTGGTAATCGAGATTGTTCTGGATCCAATGACAGTGGCACATGCGACTGCGCCACCGTCATTGGACCCATCTGTAAATAAGGTTGAGTTGAGTTGGGCTTTACGTCACATCGGCATTATTCCAGCCATATAGTGACGAGAACAAGTTTGCATTAATAAACATTGTAAGTAGATACTCGGAATGAGTTTTATTTCAAAGACATATATTGATTACATTGTCATTTAAAAGCAGAGAAAGTCATAGCATCAAATTTAAAGGCACAGGCAATTTCTTAATCACATTTCATAGTTACAATTTATGGTTGTTACATTTCGCAGTAACAATTTATGATACAGATCAACTTCCCTCAGGTAGTTCAC